AGGAGATGGAATGTGTTGAAAAGAGGGAGAAAAGGGAGTCAAGGTTGTACAAATGGGTTGATCTTATTAACATGGTTCAAGCTAGTGATGATGAATTGAGGACTGGATTACTGGCTCTTTCAGCTATAGAGATTGATGGTTATTGGAGAATTGTGGATGAGAAATGCATGGATACAATTCTAAGGATCTTGTTGCATAATGCTACATTAAATGATTGGTCACTGGATGCCCTTAATGAAGATGAAGTTGTCAGTATGCTGGAATCAGATGGTTACCCACACAAACTTGCACGCCACTGTTTGCAGGTATATGCTAAAAGGGTGGATGAGCAAATGGGAAGAAGTCGTATGTGGAGGTTGGACCAGAAGCGAGTATGTGTGCATTTTGCAAGAGAAATATTGAGAGGAGGAAAGAAGAGGATAGAAAGTTTCATGGAGGAGTGGATGCAGAAGATTCCAGATGGGATGCAGGCAACTCTGGAAATGTTGGAAGGTGAAGTTTTGACCGAGAAGCTAGGTGTTGAGACATGGGTTTATGCCTTTAGTGTTCATTCTCTGCCCTCTACTCCAGCTGAACGTTTCTCGATTCTCTTCAGACATCGAGCAAAGTGGGAATCAAAAGATTTACTGCCCTACATCAGGTTTTGTAGTATCTTTTTGTTGGATATATGCAAACAAAATATGTTGAAGAAAATGTTACAAGCCAATGAATCTAACTACTAGATTGAACGCTAATACACAAGTACTCACGATGAGACCTCTGGACCTTTTTGCTAAATCCTGGCACCCATGTGCAGAATTTTCTACAGGAATTGAAGTTTTGAAGGCTAAAATCCTTTCTATTAAATAGGTTGACACACACATTTATATAATTATACTCTTTTATATTCCTTACCTGCATTAGGTAATGGAATGAATGCCTGTCTTTGATGCTATAGACAGGCATGTATATGCTTCTAGAAATAATAAAGTCTTGGATTGTGGAAAAGGAAATCCGAATTCACATGTAGTTCTTAAGTATTACAATCTAAGAAACTGTTGATTATAATATTACCTTTATACCACTTCCTTTTTCTGGTCTGATATAAGTTTTAATCCTCCATTGTTGGATTACTTTTCAGGGATCTAAATGTCCCAGGTCTTTCTTTGGAAGGCTTGCTTCTCAAGTACACCCGAAGAACGCAGCCAACCCTCGATGCTGAACCTGTTTTTAGTGCCAGATAGTGTGCTAAGACAGCAACATTGGTGGTCTAAGGTGTCACTCCTTTTCTTACTCTGAATATTTGAACCGAGTGCATGAAAATCATGGACTTGCATGTATTGTTTCATCATGATTTTCTTCTATGTCTAAGCCAAGTGATGATTGAAGTATGCTAATTATTGTTGTTCTTCTCATTTCTTCTGTTTGGAAAGCATGCCTTTTTTTAATTTTCTTTGTTACACCTGAAACGAATTGATTATGGTTAGAGAGGTGGTTCGACATTCCATAAGTGTTTACATGATATAATTCATGCTTCAGATTGCAAATTAATGACATTCATTTCTTTGAGCCAGTGAACCGCGCATGCTGTATATTAAAAAATTGTTCAGGTTGCAGACAGGTGATGCTGATAGTTATATGGGTTGCATGTCTTTCAATATATGTATATATATATATATATATATATATATATACATATATGCGCTGCATGCTAATTTACTAACCTGGCCATAGAGGTTATTAATTTGAAGTCATTCATGGGGTTGAACCAAGGTCTGTTTATTGGTAGTAATGAACTGGGATTATTTAGAATTTTTTCAATTATCATGTAACGAATATTATGATTGAAAAGAAATTAATCTGTGTAATGAATACATATGATATATGGCCTTCTGGTTCATAATTTTAATTATTAGTTTGTTAATCATTAGGGAATAATTTTGAAACTAATTATTTTGTTGTTTTTATTTTGGTTAATATCTAAAATTTTTATTATTTTTAACTATAAAGTTTTTAACATTCTACCAATCGACTGCTAGCAGTTTACGGTCCTGATAGTTAATAAATAATAAATAGTAAGAATGAAAAACAAAATGTAATTTGTGGTATAGCAAAAAGTTCATAAAAAATAATATCAACACCTAATGTTTGAAAAGTCAAAGTTTTGAATAGGTCAATATAATTTAAATAAAAATATCAGACATATATATATATATATATCTAATATACATGATAATTTTTTTCATCATATTAATGAGATGGGTATATGCTTATCTAACATAATACTTTTTTTATTTTATTTTATTCGTAGTTAGATTAAAAAAATAATTTTATCAATTATATTGGTTAATTTACTAATGAATTTATAATAATATATTATGTTCGTATATTATATCATACAAAGATCATTTATGTCAAGTAATAATGACGTACTACTTTTTCTTTTTTTTTTTCTTTTGATAAACAATTATTAATGGTTACAAATATTTATATAAAAATATAACTAGCCCATTGTTAATTAATTTATATAAATTAAATAATATATTTGTGAATTTATGATTGTGGGCCGACTTGAAATTCATGGTGGATGTACGTATAAATGCGGTAGCTAGTTTATATACGAGTCTTTAAGTAGCTACGTATGGAAACAAATTCGATATTAAATATAAAAAAGATTAAAAATTACAAACATCAACTTTTGATAATAACTGAACTATTTTATGATGAAGTTATTAAATTGAAAGAAATGCAATCAGTTGAATTTTGTCATTACTACATATGTTTTATTGCTATTAGAATGTAACAGAGTCGTTGCCTGTTTTGAGCATTGGACTTCACATTTCTGGTGATATGCAGAAGAAGATGCTGTCGAATGTGAGGTCAAGCAGCTACGCTTCGTCTCTTTTAAGTGACCAATAAGTGTGTGTGTGTGTGTGTACGTATATGTATGTATATTTGAGAAGTAGCCATATATGTATGCCAAATGTATATGCAAGGATTGATGAACTCTGTCTGTGAAGTAAATAAATACAAGGTAGGAAATGATGAAGGGGAATTTGAAGGAAAAAAAAAAGAAGAATATAATTGGGAAAGACATATATAAAATCTATATATATATACACACATATATGTATATTTACATTTGAGTTAATTCATTTAGGAAAGATTAGAGTTAAAAATTTACGATTAACTTGGATCTCTATCACGGGAGGTTTATTCTGTCTCTCTCTATTAATGAAGGCTGAGTTAACGCCTTTTTGTTAGTGTATATATATATATATATATATCTCTCTCTCTCTCTCTCTCTGAGTTTGTTTTCTATGACATGCAGATTGGTTGGTATATATATATGTATATATGTTATATGAAATAATGAACCAAAAAAAAAAAGATAATGCAGGAGATATGTCAATTATAATCAACTTTGTTCAATTATATATTAAATAAGTATGTGATTCCCGAATTCGGAATTTAGTTCGAAATTAATTTTAACATTTTAAATATATAAAAAAATTATTTTTAAATTAATTTATTTTAATTTTTTTTGTTGAATTTATGAAATTGAAAACAATTTTAAAAAAAATGGATGAAAATTTGGGTTCGGATGGTATTTTTGAAAGAAAAATCGCAAACTGAGAGTCATAATACAAATTAAAAAATTTTTATCACGTAGGACTGCCTAGTCAGCAACCCCGACGAATCGAAGCACGCCGCCTGACAAGACACGCTGAGTCAATGCTACAGGGGATGTCATGCAGGGATCCACGAGCCCTGCGATCGAACGGCCAAGTATTGATCCCGCGCGCGGACGACCCAGATTTGTTCTCCCTTTAAACGCAATCAGACGGTCGAGATCAAATCGCGATAAACGGTTCATTTTTATTTTCTCTTTAAATCCGATCGTACGGTCGAGATCAAACGCGATGAACGACCCAAATTAGCCGCTAACCTCCTGTTGGAGGAGAAGAACCAGTTGCCAGAGAAGCGAGCCGACCACCGACCGCCGTCGCACCAGAGCCACCTTTGACTGCCAATTCTCCTATTCACTCAGAATTTGATTCCGAGTACTTCCATGGCCAAATCGGAGTAAAAGAAACAGCAGGTGAGCCCGAAACCGCGACAAAACCCGCAACCTCCTCCGATGAGTCTTTTTTCGCTTCCCGTTTT